TGGGAGGGTGCAGGGAGAGAGAGAGAGAGAGATAGAGAGAGAGAGAGAGAGAGAGAGGGAGAGCTGATTAGATTGGAGAAAGCCAAGGAGGTACGGGTATACTATTGAGCAAGGGGAGAGACAGAGAGGAGAGAGGCAGAGGGGAGGGTGACTAAGTGAATGCAGTTTGCTGCCGCGTGTCGCCGAATCACAGCGAAGTCCACAGGCAGCCAGACGGATTGGACCTGAATCAACAAATGGATACAGAAAAACTGGATGTACACTGCATATGAGGAGAAAATTAGGGAGGACGGAGAGTCTGCCTTCATATCCGTTTATCTCTGCATCAGATGCTGCTGTGAGGAACCCACGGGGAGGGAAAGGAAAACAGCGGACAACTCATTTCTCCCTAACATCCTTGGAGCTGTGAGCCAGAATAGAGTCGACTGTGGGACTCGCTGGGATTGAATATATGCTCAGTAAGTATTTGTATAGGCTGCAAATGCCAGTGTATGAGCGTGTGTATGTGTGTGTGGATTGATGCCTCCGGCTTGTGCACTGCCTCTGATGCTTTTTTCATGAAGAAAGAGAAAATAAGAGAGGAAGAAGGGAATGCAAATGCAGTTGTACTGCAATGTCTCTTCTATTGTGATATGCTCTTTGCATCACTGAACAGGTTTTTTTTTTTTTTCTAATTTAAACAACTACCCCAGACTTGACTCAGTGTGTTTGTGCCTTTTCCTCCACAGTGCCGGTGTGTGTGTGCGAGTGTGTGTGTGTGAGCTGATAATAGCAGCCCCATTGGTATTCAGCGGAGGGAGCTCCAGGATCTCGCTGCGCCTTTCCCCAGGATGGGATCACAGAGCAGGGATTGTGCTCGCCTGTGGAGAGCCCGCTGAAATGGGTGAGTGTCCGTCCTTCTCTTCCTCCTTTTTTCCTCTTTCCCTTCATTTTCACCTCTCATTTTCTTGTTTCTTTTACCTCTCTGTCTGCCTCCTCTCCTTCAGTCTGCAGTTATGTTCATAACATCTTTCACCACTGATGGGTTTTCCCTTCATTTCCTTGGGTCTCTCACACACTCATGCTGTCCAACCCACCTCCCTACCACTCCCCCACCTGTTTCCCTCCATCCGTCCTTCCGTCCTCTTTTCATCCAGCATCCATCTCTCCTCATCCCCTTTACCCCCATCGAGACATCAACAGGCCTATCCAGTTTGATGGATTTGGAAGAAATCTGAATGGCTCAATTCAATTTGTTGCTTCTCACCCCCCTCTCCCCCTTATTCCCTCTTTGCTTCTCTATCTCTTCCCCTCTTCGGCTGTGTCACCCCTCCCCCCTCCATCCCTCTCTTGGTGTCTTCAAGCTCCTCTCTACATTCTGTTTGAATTCAGACACACCGAAGACATTTGAATCTGACACTGGCAATGAATGGAGATGCCATGGATGTGTGTGTGTGTGTGTGTGTGTGTGTGTGTGAAAGGATTGCTATTTCTGTTTCTGTGTGTCAATCTTTTTGATAGCGTTTCATGTGTGTGTGTCTGACACAATGCAGAGAGGGCAGAGGTGTGTGTTCAGCCTCAGTGTGTGGGATTGGTAGAACAGAAGGTTATGAAGTAGATCAATGTGTTTAATTGCTGCAGGTATGACAGCTGTGACACGTATGAACACACACACACACACGCACACAGTCACTCGCTTTACACTCACCTTGGTCTTTGCACTCCTTGCTGACATACCTTCTGCACACCAATTCACACCCACCTACATCTTTTCACATGTGCTACAGAAAGGCATGCTAATAATGCCAACAAAGGCTGTGCAGACAGATACACACATACACACACACATGCATACACTGAGTATTCACCTAATCAGTGAGCCAACACACACACATGTCTCATCCTAAATGGTCCTGGGAGGATATGGGTGTCACAGGAGGGTCACATCTATTCACACAGCAGTATTGATTGTAGCTGATACACTGAGTGGCCTCTAATGTTTCATTTTAAAATAGACCATCACCTCACTGGACTCTGGAAAATGGAAGAAGTCACTAAACCTATTTAATGATTTCATTTTGATCTGTCAAAAGAGGTGATATTGTTGCTGCGTGGCTCTGAGTTAATATCTACTTTTAAAGAAATGCATGCTTTCTCTGTGCTGTTCGGAATTAAGAATCCATCACACAGCTGTGAGCTTTTTGATCAGAATTCAAAAAGTACTTTTGTATATTCAACAGGTGCAAACTGTTGCATAGTAACAGAGACACGACTACCTGTTGGGTAGCAAAGATTTGACATCCTGCGGCTATTTTTAGGTTCAGGCAATTTAGGCTATTTGACAAACGGGGGTATGAAGGACATTTTTAAAAAAGAAATTCAGACCAAACATTAGTTTTGCCATCTGTCTTCCGCTTGCATACCTGTCTGCCTGACAGATGTACGAATATGTCTTGGCACAAAGTAAAGGTACATAAATGTAACAATATCCATCATGGAGCTGAATAATTGATCAAAGTATACATCACTTATGACTCCCAAAAGGCACTACACTTTAATTGTGTACATAAAAAAATGTCCTTGTGTTACTCCCAAATCTAAAATTATTCAAAAACACGGAAAATTGCTGTTTGTGGCAAACTGTTACTGTGCACAAGATCTAATTTGCTTCTTGTCTTTATGAAGATATTTTCATCTATGTAATTGTATTCTTCTGTTTATTTATTTCTTGAACAATTCAATTCTGCTCGACGACTAATTTAAGAGATAATTTTCATTTTAAAAGATTAGTAAAACTAAAAAAGCACAGATTTACCCCTAACAAGCTTTGTTTACAGTATCAAAGTGTATCAGCCCACAATCCCTGTATCCTGTATTATACTGAAAAATGACCTGATTATTGCTTCCCTCTTATTAGGTTGAGAGCCAAAGGCCTGTCTGTCTTGACTAGGGCTGTCACTTTTTCAAAAAATCTAGTTTGAACTAATTCAAACTGATATGTAATTTGTTTGAACCCACGTGGCTTTAAAACCATGCGGCCTTAAATACATTGCAGAAATTACTCTGTGTCGTTCACTTATGGTGCCTCAGCTGCCTCAGTTGAGTGACAAGCTAGTTTTACCATAATGCAGTTGCATTTTACAAAGTTAGCAAACAGCCCTGTCTTTTTGCACGATTTCTCCATCTACACTGAATCCAAAATGCTTCCTCCAATTACCTCTAAGAGGGTTTGGTGTCATGATTATCTATTGAGCACAGCTCTCATGTCTCTCATTTCCTTCTTATGTTAGCAGAGAGACCAACCAATAGTTTACTCAAGACAACAGGGCATGCAGTGGATCAAACGGTGTCCCAGGGTATTTTAGGAACAACCCTGCTAGATTAAATAAATATTCTAGATGTTTCCAAATTTGAATGCTAGTTTGAATTTTGAATAAAAATGACAGCCCTAGTCAGTCAAGTATGCCTACTTAAAACTGACCACTACCATGAGCCTGGACTGCAGTCCTCCACCTGCCTCAGGCACACTCACCAGTCAGAGGTCTCTCTCTGTCCTTTAGTTGGGCTCCTGCACATGCATCTTGCCTTGGATACTGTGGAGTGTGATAGACAGCTAACTTGGAATTGAAGAAAAAGACAGGAGAAATGATTGGATGAAAGGAGGCTAGGTGTAGATATAAAATTGGATAGAGGCAATAGAAGAGAAATGTGACGGGGAGAGTGTTTGAAGATGAGCTTGTTGGGGGACAGTGAAAGGATCAAATCATAGAGTGAGTGGAGAGTAGGAAGGAGCAAACAAGCAGCAAAGTCGGAGGAAGAGTGACAAGGACGGAATAGACAGCAGGACGACAGGCGGGGTGGAGTGTGACGAGGAGGAGAATGACGTACGCGATAAGGCAGAGTGACACAAATGTCACCATGCTAACCTTTCATGCACTCTTGCTCTCTCTCCTCTCTTCTTTCTTGCCTCTCTTGTTCTTCTCCTTCTAGATCTGAAGCCTTGCAGAGATGGACACCAAATGGGCAACATGGAAGCCAACACACACCCTCCAGCGACTAGCTTTCCACACCTAACCGCCGCCACCATCTCCAGCCATCAGCTGGAACCATCCCAGCGAGGACTGAACCTGCAGAGTTGAGGCCCGACTCAAGAGAGATACCAGAGGCCGTCTACTGGAAGCAGAGACAAGCAGAGGGGGACAAGCCTCATAGGAGTTGTCTTACAACAATCCAATCAACCTGTTGAGCATACAATTGAGCTTCTTGGACTTCATCTAAAATAAAATAGGCTGCAGTGATGCTTGAGCAATGGTATGGAGCTTTTGGACATGTCCGGATTTATCGACCGGATATCCTATCGAGATTACGACACTTTTGTGCACACCTCAGAGCTGGGCCACTTTTCCAGATTGGCTTGTGGGCAAAAGCGAGTAATTGAAAATCCCCTCTCCAGAGGATCTCTCTTCTGACTTGTTGTGGGGGAAGAGTGTGTTTTTTCTTTTAAAGGAACAATTAAAAAAAACACTCACTTTGTCCGACATTTTACCCCTCTTTCTTTTTCACCGTCTTTCTCACACATTGCGGAGAAATACATTATGAAGCAGCACCATTCTTCTTCATCCTCCCTTGGTGATGGAGAGAGAGGAGGGACAGACTGTCCAGAATAGATAACGAGCAAGGAGACTGGCACTGAGGAGAGGAGGAGAAAAAGCAGAAGATAGAGAGAAACAGGTAGAGAGAGAAAGAAGAAGACAGAGAAAGAAGCAGAGAAGGCTAGAAAAAAAATAGAGAATTAACTAGGATTGTTTGAAATCCTCTTGGAGACTTAAAGTCTTTTTCTAATTCGTCTGTGCGGTGTTGGAGGCTAGTTAGCAGAATGGGCAGGGGAGGGGTCAGGATTTACACCAGGGGGGGCACTTGAGCAGGAGAGTAGGGTTATGTCCCCCCTGCACCTGCCTGGTCTGTATGTCAGTGTTTGGCAGGAAGACAGACGGAAAGATGGCCTGGTAAACAGACAGCCGTACTGAATGATAGACAAGCTCTGAGGCTGGTAAGATAGACAGACAGGAAGATAGACAGACAGACAGACAGAAAAACGGGTACACAGCCTATTCCAAGTGTCAGGCAGAGAGCCAGGCAGACATCCCACAGTAGACACTGTGCGATTCATTGTCATTCTATGCAGTGTGTGAGGAAGAAACAGAGGGAAGGAAAGAAAGAAGAGGAGCATCCCTGTGTTTGTAGCTTCTGGAAAATCTCACTTCATCTGCATCCACCTCAGTCTGTAGTGTGGCAAGCCCATGCACTAAAGAAAACAGGCTGGGAGGGTGGGGGCTGTTACTAGAAAGGAAATACAGGTTGGAGAGAGAGAGAGAGAGAGAGAGGGAGGGAGGCAGGCAGAGAAACAGAGGGAGAGAGCAGGTGTCGGAAATCCTCCCCTTCATCTGCTTGTCATTTACTCCTTTATGTTCTCTCGTCGTCTGGTGAGGTGATTGGTTTTCCGATGCCGGCGTTCTTCTGCTCATAGGCCCACCGCAATCCCGAGGAAAACAAGAGGTGGGCAGACAGAGGAAAGCAGAAAAAGACAGAAGAAAAGAAAAGGTGGAGCCCAATTTTGATTGACTAATTTTTCAAATCTTCCTTTTCTTATTTGTCAAGACGGGCTCTTGTTATTTTTCCGCTTTTTTTTCTTAAAGTTTGAGATAGAGAGAAGAAAAACACCGGCCCAATCAATCCCTCATTCTCTTTGTACACAGAGTTGAACCTCTCCACTCATCAATTGTTGATTTTTCTTGCCGTGTCCTAAAGGGATTATTTTCTCCATCTGAGTATAAACACTGGAACCCTCCAGATTCCCTCTATTCACCTCCAATGACACAGTGTGAACCACTCTGACTCCCCCAAGGCAACCCCCCCACACCCCAACCCTTCGGCTGAAGTACTAAAACCCGGTGGTCTCAGATCTCAATGCCTGTGTTGACTCACTACTACAGCATTATTATGGCACAGCGCTTCTGATAACGTCTGATTCATTCTGTAAGTAGGACTCTCTCTCTTTCTATGTGTGTATGTATGTGTTCACGTGTTCACTGCATGTCATTAGCATGTATTCAGAAGTATGCAGAAACAAAGATGTGGTGTGTCTTTCTGCAGAGTGTTAGTTTTGTGGTGTCTTCACAGCAGATTTGCTTTACTGTGCTTCCTCTGCTCCAGGCAATTGAAGCATGTGTGTTTATGTGTGTGTGTGTGTGTGTGTGTGTGTTTGCCAAAGACAGAGATTTTGATCTTACAGCCAAGCTTACAACAGCATCAGAGTAGTGTCAGAAAGAGGCGAAGGAGGTGCCTATGTGTGTGTGAAAGGGGTGGTGTGTGTGCACGCCTACATATTGGTCCTGAGGTTAATTTGAACTAATTAGTGGTGAGTATTTTTGCTTCTCAGAGCAGTTTTTTGGTTCTGTGTCAGTGTACTTGCATTCATTAGGGTGAGATGGAAAGGGGATGGGGGGCTAAAACTGAAGAGGGTGAACCAGCTAATGAGAATGACTCTGATTCCCTGACTAGTTCTTTGTTGCCTCCATTTCACATCTAATGCCCTGAGCATTACACCCCGGCTGCATATCATTTCAGCCTCCTTTTATCTCCCTATGTGTTGCCTTGGATGAAACCCTATCCTGAGACCCAGCCTCTGCAATGTCCTGCATATTACTAAGCCCATCTATCTCCGCGGACACATCCACATCTTTATACACTCCCACAGTCACCAGGCCCTGCACCGGGAGACGCTCAATCAAGATAGTCCCTTCAAACAGACCAATGAACTGTGAATAACGCCATTACACAAACTCCTAGCTCAGAGCGTTACAGAGACACAAAGATTGGGAGGGTGGAAAAATGGAAGGAAAAAAGCAAGAGAGAGAGAGAGAGAATGAAAAACATTCTGGAGAACAAGAGCAGAAGGGGAATGAGAGAGGAGACAGAGAGTGTGAGACAGAAAGCAACAGAGGGGAGAACACAGAGGCGGGAGGGTGAGAAACAGAGAGGGAAAAGGGAGGGCGTGTGTCTAGAGGGGCCGCGGAGCAGGAAAAGACCTCTGCTCCATGGGAGCACTCTGATGGGCTTAGCAAGGCCCTGTTTTGTTCACTCTGTTGGTCAGCCTCTCAGAATTAAGATTACTAAATAATACGATTACTGCAGCTGCACACTGATAACACGCTGCTGCCGATCCCCTTTGTCACTGTCAGAAGACCCAGAGAAGAGAGGAGGAATGGCATATGATGGCATCAAAGGCATGACAGTACTGACTACATTACACTCATAAGGGCCCATGCTTCACAACATGGCTTCTCTGTTTGCCGCTGAGTAAAGAGTCGGTGTGACTTTTCATACTACAAGGCGCCATAAACAAAACGATACTGGGGCAAATAATGTCGACCTGGGTTTTTTTCTTCAAGTAGATGGTGTCATCATGTCCAGTCATGTGACATAAATTTTGAGTATGTTTTTTCTCCAAAAGGGACAAAAAAAACCAAGCAAACAGGGAAACCGCTCTGTATATTATCTGATTCCACACGTGTAAACATAAACCAAGGCTCTCATGGTGAGACTTATGCCCCTTATCTCGATGTTTTACACCGCGTCTTCTGCGTGGGCTATTTGTTTCATGTTTCCACGCTTGACAGATTTGACACGGATACCTGCCAAGTTGACCTTGCAGTTTAAAGTGTAATAAAAGCTGAATTCCCAGGCTGTGTTTCACATCGATACGTGTTCTTCTGGTAGCTGATAAATGGTCTCCCACCCCTCGGGAGAGGGGAAAAACAAGCAGACAGCAAAAACTGCTGTCCAGTCCCGCTCAGTGAAAGTAAAGTACAATCGTCTGAAACCCACTGCTCCCAGAGTAGTGAGCTAATATCAGGGTTGGACTGGGCTCGAACCCCCTCCTATGAGATATGAAGTATCTCCACTCTCCTCTCAGCAGGAACAACCATTTGCCTGCAGAGCTAAAGATTAGCTTGGAGCAGGAAACAGAAAAGACTTATTTAGCATGTGATGGTATGGTATAAAAGTAACAAATAACAAAGCAGAGCAAAGGGCACAAAACGAAATCAATGAAATATGACACACAGCACAAACATGGAGCTTAAAAAAGCCCTAAAACAATGCGAGTAGGCAACCGTTCCTTTCAGTTCCTGTTCCTGTGCAGCACATTTGTCATCTAGTGGAGGTTTCATGTACATGTCATGCAGTGTATTTGCTTCAGTGACATCGAATAAACTTTGACCCCGGGGCCCTCCCCAGCTGAGCCCCGTAGTCACAGAATAACTGTATGAGTCACTTTGTAGAACCAGTATAGCTCCAGTCACAAAGCATCCATATTGAATCACACGCACTCTGCTCAGCGAGACCAGACATGCAGAAAGGCAATGTGGAGATGATGTGCCAGATTATCAGTCGTGTGTTTGTGTCATTCGGTCTCCCCTTTTTAAGCGCTTCTCACAGCGGCAGTACTGGGCTCGTATAGTAAATCATTTCACTCGACTTGGTCTAAATTGTGTCAGAGATGCACATGGTTCATAAGATAATTTTTCACGTTGGGTTTCAGATTGTCCCATTGCCCCTGTTTTTACCAGTTAGGTTCCTTTCAGATCAGTGATCCCATCATCCCTCAGGGTTATATTTTCTAATCGCTGGTTTAGATTTTTTATTTGCTGGTTACAGTTTTGATTTGAGTTATTGTTGAGAGAAAAAAAAACAAATTTTCACATTATTTGCATCATTCGTCATTTTACAGTTCTTTGGTGGGAGCAGCTATTCTCTCTTCAAAGGTGGTCAGCAGCTGTTTTTAACTGTGCTGTAATGTAGAAGCTGTAATGATTCATTCTTCTCAGAAAGGTGTGCAATTATAGTGTTATAGCTGTAATAGATAATTGCTAGACAGTTGTCAGCACTGGATCCATCATTTTCTTATCAACTTGAGACTGTGATTGGCTTTTGCTATCATGTCCCATGATGCCTCTTGCGTGGTAGTTCACCCCTGAAGTGTCTCAGACAGCCCCTGCTCCAATGCCAGCCGGGCTAATTTGGGATATGAGATCTCTTCTAACGCTGAGCAGCACTTCAGTTTCCTCTGCCTTCAATCTTCCACCGCTTGACCACCAGTGCGAGGCACTGCAGCCTGCACTAAACCTTTGCTCCTCATTGCCTAATGGAGCACAAAAAATGGCCCTGTTTGCTTAGTCGTTTGTCCACTCCTGCTTGCTTCAGGCTAGCTGGCCTTGGGGAAAAGATTGAGTGAGTGTATGAGTGTGTGTGTGTGTGTGTGTGAGCAGGATGACAAGAAATGGACATTAGGACACACATGCCCTTTCCATAATGTGCTCCCGGCTGGGCTGTTTGGCTGGCCATAAAGTGAATGCCGCTAATGGCCTCTCAGTTAATGGAGTCATTAAGATTGGATTGCAAAAAGATAAAAGCAATGTGTATAATGTGTGTGAACCGGATGGAAGTGTGATCGTTTGTATATGTGTACTGTTACTGTAACCACCTTGTGTATTTCTAGTTATTTAGTGCTTCACCCAGGACAACACTAAAGGCAGCACTGACAGTCCCCTACATTAGCATTGGTAGAAAAGGTCAGTATTCTATCACTGTAATTGTAATACGGTCTGAGGCTCAGGCGATCAGTCTTGACCCGGTCCTATGTCCTAATCAGTTGGCTGGCGGAGGTTTAGAAAGTCACGGCTATAATGTTTCACCGCTAGATTGCCGCTACATTGTGTGAGTTTGTAAGTGACAAAGGCTGATAGGCTTCATTTGAGGTCATTTGAGGACCTGTACCCGAGAGAATATGGCAAGGCTGGCGAAAGGCATTCTGGGTAGTGTTGCGTGTTGTTTCATGGTGGCATGACTGCTTATTAAGTCTATGTCAATTTCTTGATTCTTTCCAGAGGGTCTGCTTATGTCACCGTGCTCATCATGTTTTAAGCTTCAGCGGAGGTCGGTCCAACTTGCCTCATTCACTGTTTGTATTCAATGAAACGCAGCCTTTATTGCACCAAAAGGGAAAGCTAGTTTGCAGGCAGAATTAACCTTAAATCATGGGATAAAATAATTAAAACAGAACAGAAAACTCTTTCTAATTAGGCCAGACAGAGTCAATAGCTTGACTGCTAAATTATGTGGATGTTCATAATTGTTTTTCTAAACTTTGCAAAGTATAACTTTAAAAAAACAAAACAAATCAAATTTAAAATTGAGGTGTATATACACACTGTTCAGAGATATTCCACGCACACAAATCTGTGCCTGTCTCGTGGTAATAACCATATTTATCTGGCAAAGGTGTCAGTCCATGTATCAGAAGATCAGAAAATACGTTTCAGTGAAAGAGCGCACCTTTTAATCTAATCACTTACTAAGCAGGCGGAGCCCGTAGCTGGAAAATGGAGTCTCAGCAGGGGATGTCATACTGCAATCACTGATCAAACCTGTCTGCACATCCCTGAGGAGGCCTGAGGGGGTCATGCAGCAAAATAAAGAAAACTGGTTTAATTCCACTGTTATATTATTTTGAGATAGAATAGTGAGGTTATATTATACGAGTAACTGTTCTGATTTCATTACCATTAGTCAGTATCAACAGCGTCACAGTCGGAAATTATAGTGGATTGGAATTATATGTTTATATGTTTGGGGAGCATTTTTGTGAATGTGTTTGAAAACCCACATTTAGACAGTGTGACTATAGTAGAAGGAAAATGTATTTTATTACAGTATGAGCTCAAGCACTCTGCTAGCAGTCTTGTACTGTTCATCCATTCTGGTACAACTCTACATAATTGCTTTTGTGTGAAAAATTGTTCAGAAGTCATTCAGGTAACAGCATTGTCAGCCTTGGTCTAGTGAGTCTATTTTACATTTTAATGTTTCACTGCGGTTCCTGCTGAGCGGCAGTTTGCCTGACAGTGTAATAATGGCACTCATCATGATATCTACAGGTGTCGCCTCTCTGAAGCTGATGATTAATTAATATACAT